ACAGCCCAAATGGAACCGCAACTGCCCGCCGAGATCCAAACAGCCTGCCAAACAACTGGGGTTCTTCTCCAAGCGATCGACCAAACACGATAGACCCTAAAAAGAGAAGCGAAACCAGCAACATCCACATTGCCGATACTTCCGACGCACTGCCTGCCCATTTCCTAGCCACCTACTAGACGCCATGGCTCCAAAGAAGAAGGGTGATAAAGGGAAGCGCCCGAACGACGGGACCGACGATCCAGAACCACACCCACCCCCTCCGTTTGTCCGATACATGCAGGAGCTGGAGGCTCGTGGAATCAAGCATATTCGGTTGATAGGAGTGCCGGATTCCCTAGCGAAAAAGTACGCACGCAAGTCCAACGACTCTCGAGCCTCCGACAATGGGCGTGATCAGGATGTGCTGGATGAGCACAACGGTCTATCAACGCTCGACGCTGCTGACAAAGTCAACACGGAGGACGACACGTACTACGACTCCGATGCCGTTGACGAGGGCGGCGAAAAGGGCATTGCCGACCCGACCACCGATGCGGACCCCAACGGCAAGCACCCGAAGGGTGGCTCGAAACCAAAGAATCAGCTATGGTGAGAGGATAAGCTCTCCGAACTCGCCGCCGCAATGTGGGCCTGCAAAGGAGACTTCGATGCAATGAAAGGTAAGCAAGGTGGGCAGCCGTGGAAGAAACTGTGCCGACTCATTCGTGAAGCCAATCCGAACTGGAGACGCCCTTAAGACGCCATGCAGAAGCAGTGGACCCGACTAAAGACGCACCTTGAGGAGATCGAGGCGGCGGATGGGACGGGCGAAAACCATCCGACGGCAAAGCCAGACTGGTACCAGAACGTCTGGAACTACTTGCGGTCCGACCGCGCTCCGAACGCGCACGTCGTCGACAAGGGTGGAGCGCGTACGGAGCACGCTGGTCCTGCCATCGGTGTGCCACCGACTACAGGTCCAGCAACTGTCGGCCCGTCGACGATGCCACCCGCGCGGGGCGATGACTGTAAGTGGATACGATCCGTGTCGTGCCATATGAGGGGTGCTTGGGAAGGGAATGTGCGACAACGACAAACGAACAGCATGGAAACAAACATATAGCGCGACAACTCCCCCAAGATAAGCACTATCCGAGAATCAGCCCTACGACCCCCCCCCCCCCCCCCCCCCTCTCTCTACAGAGCCAGTGGCGCCGTCACCAGCCCGCATTCCGGTACGCAAGCGTGCTGTCGAGTCGCCTGCATACGCGGGGCACCTACTAGTCGTGGATACTATGACCATGCTGATGACAGAGCGACAGACCCGCGCGGATGCACCGTGGGATCATCTTTGCAGCATCCTTGAGCGTATCGCCCCGCCCCCGACTGGTCCGCCTACGTCGACGACGCCGCTGCCCTCAACCATGGGTACTCGCAGCGGGTCTCCGTCACCGGCCAGCTGCGCGACGGCGGCTACGAGTACCCCGACCAACCGCGCACAGCACGCCGCGCAAGGTGCGGGATTGCCAGCGTGGTTCCCAACGTCTGCACCTGGAGGAATGCATGCCGCCCCTCGCCAGACAACGAGTGCCCTGGCGCTTCGCACTCGAGTCTCGCCAATGGCTCCAGCTGTTGCGCCAGCACGTCCTGCTACCGTCACAACGCATGTGCAGGGCGCGGACGACGAAGGGCCGGCACGACAGCTTTACGCGGAATCAGCGCCTGCTGGACCCACGCAAGCAACAGTCGTCATGAGAGTCGACGGCTGCTGGTACTTCATTGCGCCTCCATGACGTGCGAGTCTTCGTGTCGTGCGAGCCACACTACGTGGATACGCAATCCAAAGTCTTGGCGGCGTGCGACGCATTCAGCGCAGTTGGCACATGGGGTGGGATACCATACATAGGATGGCATCCCTTGCCTTTCCCACCACTGATTCAGATTCCGCGACGTCCCATCCCTCCACCAGCCGCGCGAAGACTTGCGGCATTCATTCTGCGACTCTATCATGTTGTGGAGCACGCAACAGCATCCGGCTCCCGCACACACCTGCCATAATCGTCCACCATGGCACCCGTCGAAGATCCGCCACCGATTCTTGTAGAATCCCATTGCCCTCTCGACAGTCATACGGATTGACGATTGGACATAGTTGAAGCTTTGTTGCCATCCGGTAAGTAGCCACACTTTGCTTGCGTGTATAGGCACTAGGCAAAAGTCCTTTAGAAGGTAGGCTGCATATCCCAAGACTTGATACGGTCTGATTCTTAAAGAAGCTTAGGATAGGAACTAAACTTAGGAACCTAGCTTAGATAGGATGCAAGGAATGGCGCCATGGAATGGCGTGAGGAAGGTAGATCTAGGAGTAGGCAAAGAATGTCGAGAAAGAAGAGGGTTGGACTAGGAAGAGAGAGAGGTACAAGGAGGGGATTGTACCCTCTACAGAAAGGTTCAGTAACACTACCAAGCCTATCAATTATATAACTCAATATAATTTTAACACACCCCTTAGGCTTGGTAGTCACAAGCCCACACACACCCCCACACCCCCTAACCTAGCACCCCCAGTCCCATCAGCCACAATGCTCCCAGCAGGGCCCAAAAGGCCGTGGAGATGGCGACGGCGGCAGTCCCGACCGCGGCGACAGCGACGGCGACGACGGGCGTGCGGCGGCAAATGGCCCGCGGCGACGGCAGCGGCGACGGCGACGGCTTCAGCTTACGGCGGCGGTGAGTGCAGCGGCCCCCGCCCTTCCGGCGGCGTGTCCAACCTCCGCGACAGGGGGACGACTGCCGAGAGTCTGCGGCGACTGTGGATAAGAGGAGGCGACAGGGGAAAGGGGGGACAGTTGGCGTGCGGGCGGTGGCGGCGTCACAGGCGTCGCGCAACCGGCTGCGGCCCGACGGCGCCGTCACAGAGCGACGTCGACGCTGCAGCAGGACGTCGACGTCGCGATGGCAGAGGCAGCGTCGATGCCGCAGCGGGACGTGGACGCTGCGGCTGCAGAACGACGGCCCGACTCCACGGCAGCGCGTCGAGCCGGTCGCGGCACGACGCGGCCAGTGGCGGCGCGACGTCGCCACTGCAGCAAAACGCGGCCGCCATGGCCGCTCGAGCGAATGAGGGTGAGGAGTAAATGGCGGAAGCGTGAGGAGGCGGTCCAGCAGGGAGGATCTCCTGCTCTGATACCATCTTAAAGAAGCTTAGGATAGGAACTAAACTTAGGAATCTAGCTTAGCTAGGATGCAAGGAATGACGCCATGGAATGGCGTGAGGAAGGTAGATCTAGGAGTAGGCAAAGAATGTCGAGAAAGAAGAGGGTTGGACTAGGAAGAGAGAGAGGTACAAGGAGGGGATTGTACCCTCTACATAAAGGTTCAGTAACACTACCAAGCCTATCAATTATATAACTCAATATAATTTTAACACTGATCTCTCCGTTCTCCATTCTGGCATATAACGCACTTTTCGTGAAAACCTTGCTGTCATGGGAAGATCCTGGCCATCCTACTACATAATCCCAAATGCGGCATTTCACATCTACGGTCAGTTGTAGCTGCACAAAGTACATCTGTTTGCGACAAAAGTATTCACTGCGATAGTCGTCGATTCCACGGACCTGCAGATGAGTCCCGTCCACACCGCCGATAACATTTGGAACCCCCCGACATTCCCTAAACTCCGCCGCCATCCCAGCCATTTCGTCTCGGCTGGGGAAACGGACCCACGTCTCCTTGTGTCGGCATGGAAATGCAAGCAGGAAACGATCGACAATGAGATGGCATACAGATGCGGGGACACCAAAGTAAACACTCATATCGAGATATGTCATTCCAGATATATTTTAGGGATTAGGATGCAGAGACGCAATGGAACATTGTGCGACAGAATCTCCTTGCGAAAGTCGTCAATTTCCCTGCCTCTAAGTGCTCCAGGATGTCACGGTTAATACGAAAAAGTTATACGAAAGCGGCCTCGTCCATGTTATTAATCTGTGCAATCCATTCTGCCATCCTAGCTACTTGCGCCGCTTTGTAGCGTCGTACCTTCAGGTGGCACGCTTCTGCCCTGCGAATTGCTGACTCTGCTGCAATAGCATCTATTTCCTCTACTGCTAGCTGAGCGAGGATGACGTCGGTAGCCACTTCTTCAAGTCTCTGCCAATGCATGAACGCGGCTACAACGGCTGCTGCTGTTTCTAGCGGGCTCGCCATGGTTCCTTACTCGATATTTGCTTCTCCGTTTGGTGGTGCGCGCTTAGTACTTGTGTCTAGCTTGCATGTTGGTTTGGGTGTGGCGCAGCGTTTGGGCACGAATGCATGTGGGTTTTTTTTTTTTGGAAGGCGCATGTACTTTCTGGGCAGCGGTTGGACGTTTCCGTGACGGCGTTCTTTCACATATTGACGCAGTGGGGTCGCATGCCAGCACACTCCTGACAGAGACCCTGTTCGATTTTGGTCGTGCGGCGATTTCGCACAGAATGCAACCGTCTGGTTTTGGACTGTCCGGAGTTCGAGTCGGGTGTCCGAACATTGTAATGTCAATTCTCCAAACCCGAATCGCGTGGGTGAACTTTGGTGTCGTCCAAACTTCAGCAGGCGACCTAAGACACCAGGAAGAAACCACCTCGCGTTTGAATAGTTCACACCCGGAAATAAGATTTTCAGGGGTTTTCTTAAAAATGCTCCAGAATCTCAAACCCTTTCGTTAAAAACCAGGACATTTCTCGCGATGAGAGAGGGGTTTTTCGGCTGCAACCATGGAGCTGTAGCTCATCGAACTGGAGGTTACTTTGTCAGAAATGTAAAGAAATGGGTTCAAAGAATGTACCGAGGGTTTCCGTACGGGCATCCTGATTTGTTTAGAGCCCACCGAGGGTAATCTGACACATCACGGAAATTTGCCTTCCCAGATGATGTCCCGAACTGGTGGCGTCTTCTTTTCCAGAACGCGTTCGGTTTGGTGACAGATTTTTACTTCGGGGCCTGCATACGGTTCGGAGCCCCATTGCCGAGACCATTGCTCGCTGCTACAGCTTTCAAAGCGTTAGCGCCAGCTAACTAGCTTATAGCGGTTTACCCTCCAACGTCATTGCCAAGTGGGCTTTTCACTAACGCAGTTCCGCAGTTCCGTCTATCATAGGCGTAACGAAGTTCCTAAGTTATCTATCTAATCTTCAGTCACACATTTTGGCCGATTTACGGACGATACGGGGCGCGTCGTTCTTAACTTACCATACACATACAGCTGCTCTGTTCGGCCATGATCTACCAAGGCGTTTGACGAGCGCAGGCTGCTTTGCGTCCTATGGATACACATAGGTACGAAACCCTAATTCTTCGTTCACCGCTCCCAATCTGGTCCAAGCATTTTCTTCGCCCAGCATCCTTTCTTTTAAGAAGTACAGAATGCCTTGAAGAATTCCGAGCGAGTAAAAGGGACCTCCACTGTACCTTATTTCTCCGACAAGAAGCTAGGCCCGAGTTTTTTCTTTCTTACCTTAAGTGAAGGAACGTTTAGTGTATCTTACTTCTCGGACATGAAGCCTGATCATCAAGCAACGTGCCTGTTTAGTCGGCTAAACGAGTAAACGCAGCTTATTTCTTGGACATCAAGCTTGCCGGCCAGCCGCTTGTCTTGTAGCCTTTTACCGTGTCCCAAAGCGGGACGTTGAGGAGGAAAAAATATAAAGGAGGGTCGCCAGTACCACCACACGACGAATACCCGCATTGACAATGCAGCTGCCAGCTGGTCTCTTTTTTGTTTCGCGATCTATTGGCATGATCCTTTTATCGAACCCCCTCGGCTGGGCAACGAGCCGCTGGGCTGAGCAACGAGCCGCTGGGCTGAGCAACGAGCCGCTGGGCTGAGCAACGAGCCGCTGGGCCAGGCATGACTACCCCAGTATTCTTTAGGCGCCCCAAAAATAGACTCCTTTTATCGCACCAGCTCGGCTGGGCGACGAGCCGCTGGGCTGGGCTGTGCTTTGAGCCGAGGCCAGGCATTATTACGCCACTCCATGGGCCAGGCCTCTCTCTTATCATTTCCGGGCTCTGCTGTACGACTGTACATCCACGCACGCGCTACATGGGTAATAAGTCGATTTCTGAGTCGACTCAAAAATCGACTTATTACATGCGAATAGGCCCCACGAGAAGTTTGCCCGGCAGTCAGCGGAGGAGTTGGTTGGCGCGGACTTGGTTTAGTATGTATTCATCTCCAAAACCGATCGTCGCGTCTGCCTGCTCCCCCCGCGGTTTTACAGGTGTCGCGCAAAGTTCGCGCGGCTGTTGACGGGGGATGCGGAAGGCGCGGAGCAGCTCGGCGCGCAGCTGGCGGGGGAGGCGGGAGAGCCGCCCAGGGACGGCAGCGATGGCAGCGCGGATCCGCTGCTGCTGGCCATGCTGATGTGGCACGAAGACATCTCGTACGCGGTAGGGATAGGGATGAAACGGCAAATGAAATGGCGATTGAAATGGCGAATGAAACGACGAATGAAACTCCGAAATGTAACGACGAATGAAACGACGAATGGAACGATGTCTGCCATTTCCAGGGCGGGCAGCTAAGCCTGGCCGTCCTCCCTCCCCTCCACATTTTTCTGTTTCCCCTCGTTTTCCCCCCTCCCATCCTGTCACCCCCCTCTCCCCCCCCCCCCCTCCCCCCCCCCCCCCCCAGCTCTGCTCGTACATAGACGAGCTCTGCCGGCAGCATGCCACATGCCACGGCCACATTGAGCCCTTCTCCCCCCTCCCCCCGAAACCACCCCCCGCCCCCAGCTCTGCTCGTACATAGACGAGCTCTGCCAGCAGCACGCCACACGCCAGGGGCCGCGTTGAGCTATCCCTCCTTTCACCCTCCCCCACCTCCGCCCCCGCGCCCTCCCCCTCCCCCCTCTCTCCCCCAGCTCTGCTCGTGCACTGACGATCTCTGTCGGCAACATGCCATACGCGAGGGCCACATTGAGCTATCCCTCCTTTCACCCTGTCGGCAGCATGCCATACCTGAGGGGGTCTTATGGAGCTCTTCTTTCCCACTCCTCCCCAACAACCCCCCCCCCCCCTCACCCCGCCCTCGCGTTCCTCCCACCCACCCCCCCCCCCTCCCCCCGCCGCCTCTCCTCCCTCTCCCCAGCTCTACTCGTACATATACGAGCTCTGTCAGCAGCATGCCATACGCGAGGGCCATTTGGCGCTGACTCTTGACGGAGCAGCAGCAGAAGCAGGAGGAGGAGAAGCAGCAGCCGAAGCAGCAGCAGGGGAGGCAGATGGCGGATCAGAATCAAGGCAAGGCGAAGAGGGGGGCGGGGACGCAAGGGGGACGGAGGGAGACGGCGAGGAGGGGAACGCCCATTTGACCCCCCCGGACGTCAGGGCAGCGGTGCTAGCTGAAATCCGGGGCAGCGGGTTCCTCGGCGCGTTCCGCGCGCTGGTGTCTGAGGGGCGCGCGCTGGTGCAGCAGGCGCGGGAGAGCGCGGAGGAGGAGCGAGGGGAGGGCGGGGGGAGAATGGGCGGCCGGCCGGAGCGGGCGCTCCCGCTGCTGGATATGTTTGGGACAGTGCACCGGCTGACAGATAGAGTGGTGGAGTGGGTGGGGGAGTGCGAGAGAGTGGGTGAGAATGGGGAGGCGAGTGAGGGGGTGGGGAAGGGGGAGCAAGAGGGGGAGGGGGAGCAGGGGGGCAAGGGGGAGCAGGAGGGGGGCGTGCGGGAGTGGGAGCAGTTGGAGGGGGAGGTGGCGGCGGCAGCAATGGCAGCAATGCAGGCCAGCAGGGATGACATCATGGCGGAGCTCCGAGCCGTGGCGGCCCAGTGCACGCCGCTGCAGGGCGTGGCGGGCGGGTGAGGGCGGTTTGGGTAGCAGCCATTTATGGGCTGGGCCATGGGTTTGCTTGTGGGCCATGGGTTTGCTTGTGGGCCATGGGTTTGCTTGTGGTCGATGGGTTTGCTTGTGGTCTATGGGTTTGCTTGTGGTCGATGGGTTTGCTTGTGGTCGATGGGTTTGCTTGTGGTCGATGGGTTTGCTTGTGGTCGATGGGTTTTCTTGTGGTCGATGGGTTTGCTTGTGGTCGATGTGTTTTCTTGTGGTCGATGTGTTTTCTTGTGGTCGATGGGTTTGCTTGTGGTCGATGGGTTTTCTTGTGGTCTATGGGTTTGCTTGTGGTCTACAGCAGCAAGCCATGCAGGAAACCATCAAATTCCATCCTACGGCCCTCCACTCCACCTCCTCTTTGATCTCCCCCTCGCCCTCCCTTCCCCTCCTCCCCCCCCCCCCACCTCCCAGCTTCAAGCGAGCAGACAGTCTGCGTCGGCTGTACAGCGGCGTCAGGTCAGGCAAGACACCTTCGAAGCCATCCCACATCCTCCCCCCTTCCTCTCTCCCTTCCACCTCTTCTCACATCTCCCGCTTTACCTCCCAGCTTCAAGCAAGCAGACAGCCTGCGTCGGCAGTATAGCATCAAGTCAGGCAGGACCCCTTCGAAGCTGCCAGGAGGGAAGGCAGGGAAGGCAGCGAGTGGGGGGTTGGGCGTGGGAGCCGACCCGCTGACTATCTTTGTGGTGGACCGCATTCGCCAGTACTGCTGCTGGTGAGTCTTGGAAGACGGAAGGTAGGGGCTGGTGAGACGATCAGAAGGTAGGGGCTGGTGAGACGATCAGAAGGTAGGGGCTGGTGAGACGATCAGAAGGTAGGGGCTGGTGAGACGATCAGAAGGTAGGGGGGGGCTGGTGAGACGATCAGAAGGTAGGGGCTGGTGAGACGATCAGAAGGTAGGGGCTGGTGAGACGATCAGAAGGTAGGGGCTGGTGAGACGATCAGAAGGTAGGGGCTGGTGAGACGATCAGAAGGTAGGGGCTGGTGAGACGATCAGAAGGTAGGGGCTGGTGAGACGATCAGAAGGTAGGGGCTGGTGAGACGATCAGAAGGTAGGGGCTGGTGAGACGATCAGAAGATAGGGGCTGGTGAGACGATCAGAAGGTAGGGGCTGGTGAGACGATCAGAAGGTAGGGGCTGGTGAGACGATCAGAAGGTAGGGGCTGGTGAGACGATCAGAAGGTAGGGGCTGGTGAGACGATCAGAAGGTAGGGGCTGGTGAGACGATCAGAAGGTAGGGGTGGTGAGACGATCAAAGCGGGCTGGTGAGACGATCAGAAGGTAGGGGCTGGTGAGACGATCAGAAGGTAGGGGCTGGTGAGACGATCAGAAAGGTAGGGGGCTGGTGAGACGATCAGAAGGTAGGGCTGGTGAGACGATCAGAAGGTAGGGGCTGGTGAGACGATCAGAAGGTAGGGGCTGGTGAGACGATCAGAAGGTAGGGGCTGGTGAGACGATCAGAAGGTAGGGGCCTGGTGAGCACGATCAGAAGGTAGGGGGCCTGGGTGAGAACGATCAGAAGGTAGGGGCTGGTGAGACGATCAGAAGGTAGGGGCTGGTGAGACGATCAGAAGGTAGGGGCTGGTGAGACGATCAGAAAGGTAGGGGCTGGTGAGACGATCAGGAAGGTAGGGGGCTGGTGAGACGATCAGAAAGGTAGGGGCTGGTGAGACGATCAGAAGGTAGGGGCTGGTGAGACGATCAGAAGGTAGGGGCTGGTGAGACGATCAGAAGGTAGGGGGCTGGTGAGACGATCAGAAGGTAGGGGCTGGTGAGACGATCAGAAGGTAGGGGCTGGTGAGAACGATCAGAAGGTAGGGGCTGGTGAGACGATCAGAAGGTAGGGGCTGGTGAGACGATCAGAAGGTAGGGGCTGGTGAGACGATCAGAAGGTAGGGGCTGGTGAGACGATCAGAAGGTAGGGGCTGGTGAGACGATCAGAAGGTAGGGGCTGGTGAGACGATCAGAAGATAGGGGCTGGTGAGACGATCAGAAGGTAGGGGCTGGTGAGACGATCAGAAGGTAGGGGCTGGTGAGACGATCAGAAGGTAGGGGCTGGTGAGACGATCAGAAGGTAGGGGCTGGTGAGACGATCAGAAGGTAGGGGCTGGTGAGACGATCAGAAGGTAGGGGCTGGTGAGACGATCAGAAGGTAGGGGCTGGTGAGACGATCAGAAGGTAGGGGCTGGTGAGACGATCAGAAGGTAGGGGCTGGTGAGACGATCAGAAGGTAGGGGCTGGTGAGACGATCAGGTAAGGAAGGTAGGGGCTGGTGAGACGATCAGAAGGTAGGGGGCTGGTGAGACGATCAGAAGATAGGGGCTGGTGAGACGATCAGAAGGTAGGGGCTGGTGAGACGATCAGAAGGTAGGGGCTGGTGAGACGATCAGAAGGTAGGGGCTGGTGAGACGATCAGAGAAGGGTAGGGGCTGGTGAGACGATCAGAAGGTAGGGGCTGGTGAGACGATCAGAAGGTAGGGGCTGGTGAGACGATCAGAAGGTAGGGGCTGGTGAGACGATCAGAAGGTAGGGGCTGGTGAGACGATCAGAAGGTAGGGGCTGGTGAGACGATCAGAAGGTAGGGGCTGGTGAGACGATCAGAAGGTAGGGGCTGGTGAGACGATCAGAAGGTAGGGGCTGGTGAGACGATCAGAAGGTAGGGGCTGGTGAGACGATCAGAAGGTAGGGGCTGGTGAGACGATCAGAAGGTAGGGGCTGGTGAGACGATCAGAAGGTAGGGGCTGGTGAGACGATCAGAAGGTAGGGGCTGGTGAGACGATCAGAAGGTAGGGGCTGGTGAGACGATCAGAAGGTAGGGGCTGGTGAGACGATCAGAAGGTAGGGGCTGGTGAGACGATCAGAAGGTGGGGCTGGTGAGACGATCAGAAGGTAGGGGCTGGTGAGACGATCAGAAGGTAGGGGCTGGTGAGACGATCAGAAGGTAGGGGCTGGTGAGACGATCAGAAGGTAGGGGCTGGTGAGACGATCAGAAGGTAGGGGCTGGTGAGACGATCAGAAGGTAGGGGCTGGTGAGACGATCAGAAGGTAGGGGCTGGTGAGACGATCAGAAGGTAGGGGCTGGTGAGACGATCAGAAGGTAGGGGCTGGTGAGACGATCAGAAGGTAGGGGCTGGTGAGACGATCAGAAGGTAGGGGCTGGTGAGACGATCAGAAGGTAGGGGCTGGTGAGACGATCAGAAGGTAGGGGCTGGTGAGACGATCAGAAGGTAGGGGCTGGTGAGACGATCAGAAGGTAGGGGCTGGTGAGACGATCAGAAGGTAGGGGCTGGTGAGACGATCAGAAGGTAGGGGCTGGTGAGACGATCAGAAGGTAGGGGCTGGTGAGACGATCAGAAGGTAGGGGCTGGTGAGACGATCAGAAGGTAGGGGCTGGTGAGACGATCAGAAGGTAGGGGCTGGTGAGACGATCAGAAGGTAGGGGCTGGTGAGACGATCAGAAGGTAGGGGCTGGTGAGACGATCAGAAGGTAGGGGCTGGTGAGACGATCAGAAGGTAGGGGCTGGTGAGACGATCAGAAGGTAGGGGCTGGTGAGACGATCAGGGGGGGGGGGGAAGGGTAGGGGCTGGTGAGACGATCAGAAGGTAGGGGCTGGTGAGACGATCAGAAGATAGGGGCTGGTGAGACGATCAGAAGGTAGGGGCTGGTGAGACGATCAGAAGGTAGGGGCTGGTGAGACGATCAGAAGGTAGGGGCTGGTGAGACGATCAGAAGGTAGGGGCTGGTGAGACGATCAGAAGGTAGGGGCTGGTGAGACGATCAGAAGGTAGGGGCTGGTGAGACGATCAGAAGGTAGGGGCTGGTGAGACGATCAGAAGGTAGGGGCTGGTGAGACGATCAGAAGTAGGGGCTGGTGAGACGATCAGAAGGTAGGGGCTGGTGAGACGATCAGAAGGTAGGGGCTGGTGAGACGATCAGAAGGTAGGGGCTGGTGAGACGATCAGAAGGTAGGGGCTGGTGAGACGATCAGAAGGTAGGGGCTGGTGAGACGATCAGAAGGTAGGGGCTGGTGAGACGATCAGAAGGTAGGGGCTGGTGAGACGATCAGAAGGTAGGGGCTGGTGAGACGATCAGAAGATAGGGGCTGGTGAGACGATCAGAAGGTAGGGGCTGGTGAGACGATCAGAAGGTAGGGGCTGGTGAGACGATCAGAAGGTAGGGGCTGGTGAGACGATCAGAAGGTAGGGGCTGGTGAGACGATCAGAAGGTAGGGGCTGGTGAGACGATCAGAAGGTAGGGGCTGGTGAGACGATCAGAAGATAGGGGCTGGTGAGACGATCAGAAGGTAGGGGCTGGTGAGACGATCAGAAGGTAGGGGCTGGTGAGACGATCAGAAGGTAGGGGCTGGTGAGACGATCAGAAGGTAGGGGCTGGTGAGACGATCAGAAGGTAGGGGCTGCAGAGGGTGAATTGTGGTGGGTGTGGGGGCCGACCCCCTGACTATCTTTGTGGTGGACCGCATTCGTCAGTACTGCTGCTGGTGCGTTGGATTGAGAGGCATTGTGGGGTGCTCAGGAGGCATTGTGTGGATGATGGCAAATGCATCTGTATTTTGAGTCAACTCAAAATACAACGGGGTGATGGCAAATTCATCTGTATTTTGAGTCGACTCAAAATACAACGGGATGATGGCAAATTCACCTGTATTTTGAGTCGACTCTCAAAATACAACGGGATGATGGCAAATTCACCTGTATTTTGAGTCGACTCAAAATACAACGGGATGATGGCAAATTCATCTACGAGGGTGCTCAGGAGGGTCGATTGCGGTGGGCGTCGGGGCCGAACCGACCCCCTCCTAACTGTTTTTGTGGTGGTCACTGGACAGCAGCACTCTCCAGTACTGCAGCTTGCGAGGCTTAAAGCGCACGCACGCACACTGCTAGCCTCATCCTTCGGACCCTTGCCCCATCCTTTGTTGGTCCTTTGTATTAGATAATGGGTGGTACAGGCATGGCAATGGACTGCGCAAGACAGGTGAGTCCTAACAACCCAGGCCAGAGGACCTTAAGGGTCCCCCAGCACTGGCTCTAGCACATGCAGCATGTGCTTTGAGTCGACTCGAAATACACTCTGCAGCTTGCGAGGCTTTAAGCACACACTGCCAGCCTCATCCTTTGGACCTTGGCCCCATCCTGTGCCGCATCGCAGACTTCTCTCCCCATCCTTCTTTCTTTCCCCCTCTCCCTCTTCCCCCCCTCTCTTCCTCCCTTCCCCCCCCGCCCCCAACCACGCCAGGGACATCAAGCACACGCTCCTAGGAAGCCTAGCCGTGTGCTTGGCCCCATCTTTCTTTGAAATCCTTCTTTGCCTTCCCACCCCCTCACAACCCCCCCCCCCCACCCCCCTCCCCCCCCCTCTCTCTCCCCTCCCCCAGGGACACCAAGCACACGCTGCTAGGGGCGGCCATCTCATCCTCCTCCTCCCGGCGCCCCTCCCTCCGCCGCTTAACCAGCACCCCTGCCCCCAGCACATGCCGCTCCCTCGTGCTCCCCGCCTCCTCGGTTTCTGCTGTTTACCCCTCCCCTTCCCCTGCTGCTAGGGAGGGCGGGGGTGCCACCTACCCCTCTCCTGCCGCTGGTGCCAGTGCTGGCAATGGTGATGGTAGTGCTCCTGCCAATGCCTCTTCTACGCCTTTGCCTAATGCACCTTCACCAGCTAAGCCCTCACCACTACCACCTTTGTCCCCGAGGGGGGGAACATCAACCTCCAATGCATTTGCACGAGGAGGGGGAGAAGGAGGAGGAGCGGGAAGGGGGGGGGAAGGAGGAGGAGGGGGAGGGGAAGGAGGAGCGGGAGGAGGGGAAGCAGCAGCAGCAGGAGCAGTGGACAGTGGCTGCGGCAGCAGCAGCAGCAGCGGCGGGGATTTGTGGTCGTACGCCCAGCTCCTAGATATCATCTTTGAACGTCAGCCAGACGATTTCCCAGACTGGCAAGATCTAGCCGTTGAAACGGTGGAGGGGCTCTGGATGGCCATTCAGGCAAAGGCTCCGCTGGTGGCTGCTGCAGTGGCGGATTCGGGGGATGGGGGCGAGGGCAGGAGGAAGAAGAAGGCGGCGGCCGAGGAGGAGAAGAAGCCGAGGAGGAAGGGTGGGTTCTTTGGTTTGGGGTTGAAGGAGGGGAAAGACAAGGGGGGTGCTGAGAAGGCTGGGGGGTCGAAGGCTGGTGGGGAAAGTGCTGGTGCTGGTGGTGGTGCTGGTGGTGGTGCGAAGGGAGACAAAGTGCCTGTGCAGGAGATTCTGAGGGGGCTTTACCTCTTCAACAATGCGGCGCACATCCAACAGTGAGTTTTGTCTAATCTCAGCGAGAAATCGCAGTGTGAAATCGATTCTTCTGTGATCCTTTAAGGATGGAGATACTGAGAGGGCTTCACCTCGTCAACAACGCGGCTCACATTCACCAGTGAGTCAGGTTCAAGTGGTGGTGCTGCTGAGGTGCTGGTAATGTCCTGCAGGCTGGTTTCGAACCTCCACCCCTCCAAGGCGTTCCGCCAACTGACAGACAGTCTGCTCGGCTTGTCCCATCACACCTCCTTCCAGTCCGTCTTCCTGCCTCCCTCCCTTTCCCTTCCTTCACCCCCCATTCCCCTTGCAGGCTGGTTTCAAACCTCCGCCCTCGAAGGAGTTCCGTGAGCTCTCAGGCAGTCAGCTCGCCTCTACGCCTTCCCTTCTCCGCCCCTTGTTCCTTACATCCCTCTCCCTCTCCCGATTTTTTAGGCGCCTGAAAAATCTTCCCTTCTGTACCTCTTGCGCCTTACATCCCTCTCCTTCTCCACCTCCCGTTTCCCCCGGCAGGCTGGTTTCACACCTGCGTCTCTCCAAGGAGTTCCGTGAGCTCTCAGACACTACAATGCACCGATTCCTGGACGTGCTGCTCCAAGACGTGAGTGAGGGGGATTGGGAGTGTATGTGTGACTGTACAGTACTGTGATTGCAAGAGGGTGTGATTTTAAGAGAGCATGAGTTGAAGGAATTCCGAGAGCTCTCGGACACTAGGATGCACCGGTTCCTGGGCGTGCTGCTCCAAGACGTGAGTGAGGGGGATTGGGAGTGTACGTGTGACTGTACAGTAGTATGATTGCAAGAGGGTGTGATTTTAAGAGCACGCGTCGAAGGGATTCCGAGAGCTCTCAGACACTAGGATGCACCGGTTCCTGGACGTGCTGCACCCGTGAGTGAGGGAGACTGAGACTATTTCTAGTGTGCAAGTGTAATGGCGCATGCTGCCATCTGTCAGACACTCCAAGGTGTGAGTGAGGGAGTCTGGGACTGTTTGTATAGTGTGAGTGTAAGGGCGCATGCTGCCATCTGTCAGACACTATTCACCCGATTCCTGGACGTACTGCTCCATGACGTGCGTGAGAGGGGAGTGAATGCAAGGGGAGTGAAGGCAAGGGGAGTGAATGCAAGGGGAGTGAATGCAAGGGGAGTGAAGGCAAGGGTAGTGAATGCAAGGGGAGTGAATGCAAGGGGAGTGAAGGCAAGGGGAGTGAAGGCAAGGGGAGTGAATGCAAGGGGAGTGAATGCAAGGGGTGTGAATGCAAGGGGAGTGAATGCAAGGGGAGTGAATGCAAGGGGAATGCATGCAAGGGGTGTGAATGCAAGGGGAGTGAATGCAAGGGGAGTGAATGCAAGGGGTGTGAATGCAAGGGGAGTGAATGCAAGGGGTGTGAATGCAAGGGGAGTGAATGCAAGGGGTGTGAATGCAAGGGGAGTGAATGCAAGGGGTGTGAATGCAAGGGGTGTGAATGAGAGGGAAAGCGCCTCTACCAGTGCTCAGACACTACTTCACCGATTCCTGGACGTGCTGCTCCAAAATGTGAGTGAGAGGGATGTGAGAGAGAGGGATGTGAGTGCAAGGGATGTGAGTGACAAGGGTGTGAGTGAGGGGGATGGGAGTGAGGGGGTAGGGAGTGAGGGGGGAGGGAGTGAGGGGGGAGTGAGTGAGGGGGACGGGAGTGAGGGGGATGGGAGTGAGGAGGATGTGAGTGAGGGGGATGTGAGTGCAAGGGAAAGCACCTTTACGAGCTCTCAGCCTCCACAATGCACCGATTCCTGGACGAGCTGCTCCAAGACGTGAGTGAGAGGGGTGGAATGAGGGATGAGAGGGGTGGAATGAGGGATGAGAGGGGTGGAATGAGGGATTAGAGGGGTGGAATGAGGGATGAGAGGGGTGGAATGAGGGGTGGAAAGACAGGGAAGAGAGGGGGATGTGAGTGATTGCAAGCAAAGCGCCTCTACGAGCTCTCAGCCTCTGGCATATCGCCCTCTCCCCAGATCCCTTTCGTTTTCCCGTTCTCCTCTCCACCTTCCCTCACTCTCTCTCTCTCCATGCCCCTCCTGCTCGTCTGCAGATGGGCGGCCGTAGGCGCACCCACCACCGGCACGTCTCTATCTGATCCCCTTCCCTTCACCCTCTCCCTGTCTCTCTGCGCATCCTGCTCGCTCTCAGATGATGGCGTCTATAGGCTCACCCCCTCTCCCTCTCCCCAGATCCCTTTCGCTCTCCCATTCTCCTCTCCACCTTCCCTCTCCATCTCTCCATGCCCTCCTGCTCGCCTGTAGGTGGTGGGGGGCCATAGGCACACCCACCACTGGCATCTCCCCTGCTCCCCTCAGCTGCCTCCCCTCACCCATCTCCCTCTCCCTCCCCCCTCTCCCCCTCACCCTCCCCCTTTCCCCTCTCCCCCTCTTCCCCCTCCCCCTCTCCCGCTCACCCCTCTCCCCCTCCCCCCCTCCCCGCTCTCCCTCCCCTCTCCCCTTCTACCCCTCTCCCCCTCTCCCCCTCTCCCCCTTCCCCCTCCCCTCCCCCCTCCCCCTCTTTCTCCCCTCTCCCCCTCTCCCC